TCACCAGTCCATCGAGTCCACACTGGTGTTTCTGCAGCGCAATCCAATTAGCTCAAAGCAAAATACTGTGGATGCTGGAAATGTGAAATAAAACCAGAAAACGCTGGAAAAATTCAGGTCTGGCAGCATCTTTGGAGAGGAACAGAGTTAACACTTGAGTTTCTTGAGTGAATGGAAGGCTGGAAAAAGAGTAATATCATTGGATTAGTCATCTAGAACTCCAGAGCATGGCTGATGATAATATTTGAGATCAGTATATAAAAATAATCTAGAATGAATGAAAAAGCTTAATGATGAGCATTGATTATGTGAAAATGCATCTTGTTCATGAACACCCTTCAGAGAAGGATATCTGCCATCCTTACTTGGTATGGTCTATGTGATTCCAGACTCATAGCAATACGTATAAAAACCGAAAGGACTGCAGCTGCTGTAAATCAGGAACAAAAACAAAGTTGTTGGAAAAGCTCAGCAGGTTCTGAGGAAGGGTCACCGGACCCGAAACGTTAACTCTGTTTTTTCCTTTACAGATGCTGCCAGACCTGCTGATCTTTTCCAGCAACTTTGTTTTTGTTCCTCATCACAATATGACTGACTCTTAAACGTTGTCTGAGCAGTTAGAGATGGCCGATAAATACTGGCCCAGCCAGCAACACCCACACCCACGAACAAATTAAAAATGTAAATGGATGGATACTTACAATGGAATCAAAAGCAGTGACTAAGAGGTACTTGCAGGGGTCAGTATTGGGACCCCAGCTGCTGCTTCTATATATATATATAAATCAACAATTTGGATAAGGGAATCAAATATTTTGTCAATTTGCTGACAACACAAAACTAAGTGGCATTGTGAGTAGTGAGGAGGACGTAATGTAGCTTCAGGGTTATTTAGAGAAGTTGAACGAGTGGCTAAATACACATTAGATGCAGCATTGTGTGGATAAATATAAAGTTATCCCACTCCAGCATGAAAAACAGAGTATTATTTTAATGGGGATAGAGGAGGAAATGTTAATGTACAAAGGGACTGGGGTGGCCTTGCACACCAGTCACTGAAAGAAAACAAGCAGGCTGGTGCGGCAAGGAGTTAGGAAGGGAATGGTATATCGGTTCTTATTGTGAAAGGATTTAAGTACAGGATGGCAGATGTCTTACTGCAACTCCACCAGGCCTTGGCGAGACCACACCTGGAATGCATGCACTGGTTTAGAAAGGTCAAACTTGCAGCAAAGGTTGACCAGACTGATTTCTGGAATGGCAGGATTGTCACTTGAGGAGAGACTGAGTTGACTAGCTCTCTGTACTCACTGGTGCTGAGAACAATAAGAGAGGGATCATCATTAATACATATGAAATTCCAACAGAGCTGGACCAACTGGATGCAGGGATGAGGTTTTACCTTGTTAGTGGGTCCAGATCAAAGGGTCATGGTCTCAGGATACAGGTAGGTCATTTAAGGCTGAGATGTGATGAAATTTACTCAGAGGGTTGTGAAATTCTCTACTACTTCAGACTTTGGAAGCCAAATCAGCAAATAAATTGAAGAAAGTAAGTTAGATTTCTAGACACGAAAGATACCGAGGCATATGGAGAGAGATTGGGAGCATGGCATTGAGAACATGGATCAGCCATGATCTTGCTGAATAGCATAGCAGCTTAATGGGCCTGATCCTATTTTCTATGTTCCTATGCCAGAAAATTTTTTGAGATCTCTTTCATGTTAACAACCATTCTATTGTCATATTCTCTGTTCAGTTTTACTTTCCTCTTCACTTTCAACCTGAACTGATTGTATTTGGCGTGATCCTCAGTTGGAAAATTCACCTGACGGAGGTTGATGTTGCTCCAACAAGCAAAATCCTACACTTTCTTGACATTAACCTCCTTCCCACTAGTCCTGGGTGAACTGTCCCTGAACGCATTATTCCAACCAGAGGTGCCGGTCACTCTGAAGGGATAACGAAAATAGTGACTTTCCTTCACAATGGCTCTCTCCCTTCAAGGTTTCTGCAGTGGCTTGCAGGAATGGAAGAGAACCTACAGGAGAATAGAGATAATGGCCATTACAGTAACTAAGTTAATGAAGCAGCACATATTGTTACCATTACATAATATTAAGATGCCACACAACCAACAAGCAGGTTTACAAGAGCCATTTTGCTACAGACTTGCACATTCTTCGATGTTTCTTGTGTTTCCTCATCCCAAGATGTGCAATACATATTTCCCCTCCATTTGAATCACGTCTGAGATTTACAATCTTTGCAGTTTTTAAACACAAAAATTGTATAATTTCATTGCAAAGTTATTAAAATAGTTTAGTTGAAAGAGAGAAACAGATAGAGATAGCATGGGTTTCAATATTCAAGCACAATGTTTACAACTGCTAATGATGAAGTATGTACAACATGCTTTGAAATTTAATTTAGAAACAATATTACATACAAATAAATGAAAAAATTGCATGTTTCTTTGATTAAGGTTTCTTCCTATTGTTGAAGGTGATTGAAGCTTCTCAGCCTGGGCCATGGCAAACAATCAAGCTTTGGCCATTGGATGCTTGAAAGTAGGTAAACATTCCCAGCAGCACTATACCAACAGCTTTAACAAGAGTTAATCCAGCACAGAAAGTCAAGAGTAAGATAAACGTCCTTTATATTCAGGTAAATAAACAAAAATACTCAAGTACCTTAATCAAATTGTGCAAGTCCATTGTGGAAGGTAGTGAAATGTTATTCTGGAAATAACCAGGAATAAAACTTTGGGATGGAAAGGATGTAATGACTTGCATCTTAAAATAGATTTGTAAAGCAAATATAGGATGTATTACAAGTATATTAGTGGTAACAACATGATTCAATCAGTTATGTGATTGTGTTTGTGGCAAGTAAATTTACCATATTCCAGTAGTATAAAGTCTGCTGTCATATTTAGGTTAGACGGGACCCTTGTAAGAATCAGAAATTGCTTCCAAGTCCTGGACCACTATCCAGGTTTTCTCCCATTCACCCAACAGTTGCTCCCCCTCCACGTTCACACACGGGAAGTGACTTTGCAGTTCTCAAAGTTAATTTGCTGCGGACCTAGTGTGATCGGTAGGATTGCATTCCTCATTTGAGATGGTGAGGCAGGAAATTTCTGAGGTCCCCAGCGAGGTAACTTGAACAAAGGAATATTTTAGGCCTCCCTTATCTTGCATTTTAAGCTGTAGCTGTACACAGACACATTCAACTTATTGAATTCAAATTCCAGCATCTACTGGAGCACGATTTGATCTCAGGACCCAAGACCAGTTGCTGGGTCTCTGGATTACTCGCCTAGCGACAATACCATTATACTACCACCTCCCCACAAATGTTGTTGGATGCAGTTTCTCTGGTCTGAATGGTGTTTGTGTTTTAAAAGTTGGCCTCTAGGTAAGAAAGGATCTAAGACTTTAGGTTTCTGGGGATGGCTGTGACTTCAGGTTTTTGATTTTAGGTTGTGAAGGAAACACAAACCAGATTAAAAAAACAGCCTGAAAATAAATTCTCCACTGGCGCTCAGGGCTGATGACCATAAAGGAAAAGTAATTTGTGGCACAGTTCAATAGATCAAAAAATGCTAAATCCACAGAGATTATACTCATGGAACCTGGGTGCAGTCAAGTTGTTGGATGGAAATTGGTGTCTCAAGCCTTGAAATAAAGGAACTGGCAATTTACCTGATGAAAAGAGAGAGCTTGAAGGATGCTGTGGTTGAATATAATGCCTTATGTGCTGAAAGAATTGTTAGTAAATCTATGAGAGCTGTCTTTCTTTCATTGGCAATCTGAAATGTGACTTATCATTTCTAGTGAGTGCAATTTTCCCATTACTTCATGTTTACTTTGACTTAATTGTCAAAGTAAAAGTTATAAGAGGTGCAATCTTGTCTTTTATCAGTCTTTTGGCAAATTTAGTGCTTTTTGTTTATTCATCTCACCAGGATCACAAGTGTCAGAAGAAAGTCTGCTGGGCATCTCAAAATTGTGGGCACTCCAGTTCAGAGAGACAAAGCCAAAACAGCTGATTCCAAATGTCTTCAAACGAGTACAGCTGTAGGTAAATATCTAGCAACAGCAAACTATCAAAATAACCTGCATCTGAATGTCATTTGTGAGGAACCAACGAACACTAGCGTCATCATATATAAGGTGGTGGTACAGGAGCATATCTAATAGAATATAAAAAATACGGAGGTAATAAAAATTCCATCAATGTTTATAAATTTTATTTGGACCAAATACAAACCATGAGTTTAGTTTATATCCATTATCACTCTCTGGTCTCTATCTTGACTGTACTGGTGTATTTTGTCTCACTGTGCTGCCCAATTATGGGCAACTGAAGCTCAATAATGCACAACTAGCCAGCTCACTGACCACATCACTTGCAACAAAAAATGAAGCCCTTGAATTTACACCTCTTCTTGTAATTTTCTATTGTCAATTTACACCAAGATTCTCTCTATTCATGGACAGATGAAGCTTGACCACTAGAATTCAGGGTTTGAGTTCATCACAAACTCATTTCATTTTAGACTTACAATACCTACTCGATATTAACAGTTTCAACTCATGGACTCGAAACAGCTGGAAGATTATTTCAATCTTGTACTTTGATAGCTTTTCTAATTCAGTCATAAACATTACATATGGGATAGGTGCTGAGCTTGATATTTTGAGTCTTTTAGGCAGCAGAAAACACCAGCAGTTAAAATTTGCTAAGGTTCAGGTATTTATTTATTACTATAGGTGTTCTAAACCGCCTCCTCTTGCACCTTGATAGCCTGTACATCTAAGTCAGCTACGGAGCTGTTGCATACAGTTTTGCTTCCTCTAGACTTTAACCAAACACAGTAATGAGGTTATGAAGCTGTACACTTAGAATGGCCTATTCATTACATAAGCCCTAGTCAGACAAGCTCGGTTTGAAAGATAAACAAGTATACACGGATGCACCACCAACAAACCAAAATTAAAAATCCGGCAGATCTCTTTTAATCAATAGCTGGTCAGAAATTAATTGCATGAAAAATGCAAAACAGAATTACAATGAGATATAATGAGTGTTTTTTAACAAATGTAGTCTTTGCCAGTTAAACTGGAAGATGGCACAGAATACCTGCATTTAAATTCTTGCTAGCCTCAAGTGGCCTGAGTGAGGCCGGAGGAATTTGATCACAAAAACGTTCAACACTGTTGCATACAGTTTATTCTTTCATTTTTAATAGAACCTAAAGTTAGATTGATACTTTATTTGTACATTACTTACAAAGTTAGTTAAATTTTCTATGTACACATTGAATTTTGTAATGTGCATCTCTAAACCACATTCAACAGCCCTGCAATGACCTTCGCTTTTACTTTAATACAGACTGTATTTGCTAACAATATAAATTCCTACCTGCATAAGCGTGTACAGTCATCATCTCTACCCAATACCAGTGAAAAATCAACATATACACTAATACATTACACACAGGAAAATTAATTAGATGAAAAAGTTAACAAAATAATGAATAACCCGGGCTTATACATGGTAATAAATAAATCCATTCTATTTGTATTCAGTAACAAGGCCTGTAAGCTCCTGCTCTATCTAGAATAAAACAAATCAGGCCCATTCTTTAATGCTATTATTAGCATTCTATCAGTACAATGACATTTTCATCTCTCTGTATTTTAGAGCAGAAATATACATTACAGCATAGTAACTTCAAGAATTTATTCTGCAAGGTTGCAAATTTTACTAACCAGCTTTTCATATTCCTACCAGGGTTAAAAACCTTCATCAGGACTGAAAGATTGTTGAAGTTATCCACCTCATATTGTACCTCAACGGAAATCCATCCTCCAAGATAAATGCACATTTGCCTCAGATGACTGTATTGTCTCAACCCTCCTGTCAAAACGATCAATTCCAACTCTCAAACTGTAACTGTTGTTATTTGGAGATTTGCTGCTGAATGTGAAGGAGGAATTCATAATATGACAACGCAGATTCGGTTCTGTCTTCCACCAACTTCTGGTAAAAGTTTGCTTTCATTGGACCATCATCACTGTTGACATTTAATAACACCATGTGACAAACATTTAAGATAAAATTATCGCAATTTGTTTAGCTATTGAAAACAAAATTTATATTTGCCACACTACTAGAACAGTGTTGCAGTTGTATTTTCTAAAAAATGCTTTATCATCTGAAATAATTACACCCAATATTGTAAGTTACATGAAACATTACTTTAGTCCCGACATTTGTAACTTGAGCAGGAACTGCAGCTTCAACGTAAAATTCATAAATTACATCAAGTAAGACTTATTGCAGCTTATGATGGGATAGGCCAAAAGTTCACGAAAAGATCACAGCTGGTTGGTAATTGAGCTGACTAATGGCAAACAATTTTCCAAATTGTATATTTCATGGCTTGGACAAACTTTGCTAAGGAGGAAAATGAAGAGATCTAGGAGTATTAGCTACTCAGGAGTATGAATAAATGTAAGACACCAGACTAATTTCAGAGACCGCCAGACGCTGTAATACAGAAATAATAATCATATCATTTTGGAATGAAGATTGGACTCAAGGACTTTCTTAATTTGAATTTCTTTTACACAGCTACATAGAAAGGCTTTTAAATAAAAACAATAGCAAATACTTACTTCACAACGTAAATAATCGATAAGAATGGTCTGCTGTCTCGAAGCCAGGAAACAAAATCATTTGTTCTTTGAGATAAGATTGTATTTAATTCTGGTAGATGAGTCTTTTTTTTCCCCAAAATATGGCATGGCAGAAAGAAAACAAAAAAAAAGTTAACCTGTGTCATTTTATAGGGAATGAATAACCTTTGAAGCATAGGCACTATTGTAATATAGGAAATACTGCAGCCAATTTGAAGTCAACAAGGCCCTGACAGCACTAAGTGATCATAACTACTTTAGGTGTCTATTGCAGGCTAAATATGGGCAAGGACATGAAGAGAACTCCCCTGTTTTTCTTGAAGGTCCAGCTGAGGGGCCAAATGAGGCTCTTATTTAATCCTCCAAAAGATGAAATCTCCTTCAGCACCGTAGTCCCTCGACAGTGCAACAAAGTGCCAGCCTACACTATATATTCAAGTCTCCAGAGCAGGGATTGACTACTGACCTTCTGACTCGGAGTTAATACTGAAACACAACTGATATCAATATAGAATGAGAATGGCTCTAGTTTTGAATGAGAGTGAGGAAACACCAGAAGTTCCAGTTCTATGTGAGAGTCAAATTTCATTTATAGGCATTCAGATTAGTGTGATTAGAGACCATCTTGTGCATATTTTCAAGACAGTTGAGCGCTCATTAGCGCATTTCAAACTTCACTAGTACAGTCCAATTTTGCATTCAACCATAATGTCAACAAGTCACTAAGGTGTTGGGGTGTGGGTGTGTGTGTGTGTCGGGTGGGGGTGCATAGTGGTCACCAGTGCCATCTCATACCATCAGGAACCCAAGTTCAATTCCACCCTTGGGTGAGGTTTATGTGGAGTTTTGCACATTCTCCCCGTGCCTGCGTGGGTTTCCTCTGGGTGCTCCGGTTTCCTCCCACAGTTCAAAGACGTGCAGATCAGTGGATTGGCCACGCTAAATTGGCCGTAGTGTTCAGGGATATGCAGGCTAAGTGAATTAGCCACGGGAAATGCAGTGTTACAGGGCTAGGGTGGGTGTGTGCGGCATGCTCTTCGGAGGATTGGTGTGGACTCTATGGGCCAAATGGCCTGCTTCCAGCACTGTAGGAATAGGGATTCTATGAGTGCTTTTTGAACTCTCTCATTGATTAGTTATCAGAGATATATTCAACATTATATTTAAACTCTCAAAAAGATTTTGTTAAAGTATGTGACAATATTTTTGTCTATGAGATTACAATCTGAGGTGTATCATTAAGAGCAGACAAACAGCAGAAGGTCAAACGTTTTCTCAAGGAGACATTACTGAAACTACACATTCACAGTACCAAGTGGCCAGCTCAGAAACAGCATTGGAGAAACTCGAGCTCAGCCATTTTGCATTGAAAAAAATGGAATTACTACAAGATGAAAATTTAAAAATTATATAATTAAACTTTTAGAAAATGCAATACAAGTGAGAAGGGCATTGACGCCACTGACTGTTACATTTTAAAACACTGCAAAAATATAGCAGCCAAGTGATTTCTTCCACCATTCGAGGGGCAAGAGATAGATATTAGTTAAAGCAATGAGAACAATGAGTAATGTATTAATTTTATTCTTATCTAGAATTGAACAACTTACCATATTTTGTGGTATAGAAGCATAATTAGGAAATCCAAGCACTTCACTAATAAAATTGTTGCTGCAGTTTTTGCCAATCCAGAGGTACATCACCTACAAGAAAATTAACACCCATTCATTATTGGTGAGATTGCTGCCTTCATTTTACCTCACAGCGTAAATATAAACCAATGGTTTATATCACCTCACCTTTATATCACTTCATATCACCTCCAAAAGATCAATTTCACTTGCCGGTGTTTGCAAAGTATCTGTTAGCAGCAAATCCTCATACTTAAGTCTGAAGAAAATTTGCGATGTTAGCATTTATTCAAAGGTTAGGAAAATTGTGGCAGCAAAACCAAGGTTATTTCTTATTTATTCAACTTCAAATTTCTGCATCTTTTAATAATCAAGGCCACAGTTACATGGAATCCCACTTCCTGAAGCAAAATTCCAACCCTGCTAAAGCGATCAATGGATCTGTGACCTCTCCAGCTGGCACCCTGCTATCGCATTACATCATAGTTTACATCCTTATGGCTTGAAAGCAGCTGTTAAATTGGCTGTCCAGGACATTTACATTTCAGAATACAGCAGCTGTAAATAGGGGGCCTGGTCTGCCTTCCTGCGATAGTTCGGCACTACAAAGAATGGTCAGATTGGAAATACGGCTCCGTATTTCTGATTAGAATCTCTTCTCAGAAATGTGGAGTCCCTTCTTTTGTGAAAAAACCCAAGGCTGCAACTCCTCAGAAAATCCAACCTCCAAAACTGGAAGGCATATTTTGAATAAAATTGATATTTAATACTACACAGCAATCTGTTAACTGCAACAGGTCAAATATATAATGAACCCACAAGCAACAGATCAGATCAAAACTTGCCCACACCACCTCATCCAGTTGTGAGTGGTGGTAGAAAATTAAATACAGACTCGACAAAAAAAAACGATGGGGAATATGAGCACTAATGTACAAAAGACTGAAGTATTTGAAATCATTTTCAGCAAGTATTGAATGAATTATCCATCTGGACCTCCTGCCGAAGTCCTCATTGTGATACTAGTCTTCAGTTCATTCAATTCACCCTACCTGATGTCAAGAAAATGCTGAATGCACTGGATGCAACAAAGGCTATAGGTCCCGAGAAGCAATAACTTCATACAGTCATATAGCACGGAAACAGACCCTTAGGTCCAACCAGTCCGTGCCGACCATAATTCCAAACTAACTAGTCCCATCTGTCTGCTCCTGGCCCATATCCCCCACCACCACCACACACACCCTGCTCCCCCCACCCCCCCAAAAAAAAACTTTTCTATTCATGTACTTATCCAAGTGTCCTTTAAAACTTTCTAGCTGCACCCACAACCACCACTTTCTCAGGAAGTTCATTTTACATGCAAACTACTCTCTGTGTAAAACAATTTGCCTCTGATGTCTTTTTTAAACCTTTCACCTCTCACCTTAAAAATGTGCCCCCTAATCTTGAAATCCCCCATTCCAGGGGAAAGACAACTACAATTAACTCGATCTATACCCCTTATTTCATAAATTTCTAAAAGGTCTCCTCTCAACCTCCTACACTCCAGTGAAAAAAGTCCCAGCCTCTCCAGCCTAACTCAAACCTTCCATATCCAGCAACATTTTGGTGAATCTCTTCTAAGCCCTCTCCAGCTTAACAATATCCTTCCTATATCTGGGCAACCAAAACTGGACACAGTATTCCAGAAGAGGCCTCACTGATGTCCTGTAAAACCTCAACATGACTTCCCAACTCCTGTATTAAAAGGACTGAACAACACAGGCGAGTGTGCCAAACACCTTTTTAACTATCCTGTCAATATATGACACAAACTTCCAAGAATTATGTACCTGCACCCCCAGGTCCTTCTGTTCTACAATGCTATTCAAGGCCCCACTACTAACTGTATTAGCCCTACCCTTGTTTGTTGTAACAAAATGCAATACGTTGCATTTATCCAAACTGAACTCCATCTGTCATTTTTCAGCCCATTGACACATTTCATCAAGATCCCTTTGTAATCTTAAGAGAACCTTCTTCACTGTTATTCGTGTTGTTGCCCGTAACCGGCTCAACAAATACGATCGAGAAATTTCGTGCCAAAAATCATTATACCAAAGCACTACTGACCAGCAACGGACTACAACTATGGAACAGGCCATCACCATCAAACAATACAGGACCAGAACAAAAAAGAAACACATTCTACAGGAGAAAGTGACCCACCACGAAGACAAGGACAACTACAAACCGGACACGAACAACTTCATTTTCTCCACAAATGCCTCAGGAACCTTCTTCACTGTGTACTATAAAGACTTGCGCTCCAAGAGTAGCTGCATCACAAGCCAATTCACTTCAAAGCTGCTACAACAGTGTTGAAAATTGTCCATGGAGGTCTTGGTCACAAAATAAACAATACAAAACAAATTAGTCAAGGAAATGTACCTAATAGTCATGATGGATAGTCACCCTGGTGACCTTTAACTGATTGATGAATTACCTATCGTGAAATAATTAGGCTTTGAACATAGAGTTGGGTATATGTGCAGCCAAGTTCTATAAAATTTTAAGAATATCTATGAAGAGCAAGATTCTTCTTATTCCATATGCAAAGTCCCTTGAAAGCCAAATACCAAGAATCTTTCAAAAAAATACTCCTACTACACAAGAACCATACTCAGATTTAGATTTTTCAATTAATAAATAATACTTACAGAACCACAGTCCATCAAGAAAGCACCCTCTTTTGACAGCTTCTCCGCAGAAAGTTGCAGAATAGGTGGCTGAGGAATAGTTTTGTCACCGACAATGATGGAACCCTACCAGAAACAAACAGTTATTTCAAAGAAAATCCTTTACTCATGAACCAAACCAAAGAAAATCAATGTCCTAATTTCAAATAAATCCAAGCCATCAAGCTCCAAGAATAGAATAATTGAGTCCATGTGCAGAAAGCACACACCAGCTTTCAGGTTTATTGCAGAGTTTACAAACACACTGTGGTGTTGATAGATTGAAGGTGCAATAAATGGGTTATGTAAAGTACATTTCCACACAATCACAAAAAAAGTTATACTTTGTAATAGCTGAGCCCTAGACAAGTATAATTCCCCTTTTTTAGGCACAGGCTGGCAATATCGAAATATTACATTTCAAAAGTTGAATTAAAAACACTTCAACACCCTGACAACATACCAAATTTTGTTAATACACATCTTGATTAAACTTATTTTAACGTTATAAAAGTTTGGGGCTGTTCAGTGGTGAGTACTGCTGCCTCACGGCACCAGGGACCCAGGTTCAATTCTACCCTTGGTGACTGTCTGTGTGGATTTTGCACATTCTCCCCGTATCTGTGTGGGTTTTCTCCGGGTGCTCCGGTTTCCTCCCACAGTCCAAAGATGTGCAGGTTAAGTGGATTGGCCATGCTAAATTGCCCTGTGGTGTCCAAGGATGTGTAGGTTAGGTGGGTCAGCCATGGGAAATGCAGGGTTACAGGGATGGATCTAGATGGGACACTCTTCAGAGGGTCAGTGTGGACTCGATGGGCCAAATGGCCTGCTTCCACACTGTAGGGATTTTATGAAATGGAGTTCTATGAAAGTGTGAGGGTATAGACAGAAATTTACCATGACATCGAACGTAGATAAAATTTTACAAGACAGTCCTAATAGAAATGACCAACTTTTCTGATAAAAGAACAGCTTGAATTTGCTCCATAACAGCATGCAACTCAAATTATACATAACTTACACTGGTTAGAAAAAGAACTTTTTTTTAAACATATAAAGGATAATTACAGTGGGAGATATACATTAACAATAATTTGTATTTACATAATGACTTTGGCATGGTAAACATCCAAAGATGCTTTGTAGGTTTTAGTCAAACAGATCAAAAGAAATATAAAGGGATATTAGGAAAGATCATTAAAAGCTTGGTCAAAGAGATTGCTCCTTTAAGATGCTCCTTAAAACCAAAGACTAGCAGAAAGATTTACGGACAGTATTTCAGAACTCAGACACCTGGAAACAAGGCCACTGATGGAATTGTGATTGCAATTTGGAGTGGTGTAGCTATCTTGTAGGGTCATAGGAAAGAAAGGGGTTACAGAGGTAGGGAGTGAGGAGGTCACAAAGACATTTAAAAGAACAAAGAAGCTTAAAATGAAGCTGAAAATAAAGCTATTGTTTCACTGGGTGCTGATGCAGGTCAGTGAACAGAGATGCGATTGGTGAACAGGACTCTGTGCGAGGATTTAGGGCAAATTAGGACAAAGTCAGTAGAACTCTGACAGACCTTATGTTTACGGAGGGGAAAATATCAGAGGTTGACCACCAATGTGTTTAATTTGGCATGTTGAGCACAAAAGTATGATGAGGGTTTTAGCAGATGAACCAACGCTGGGTTGGGTGGGATAATGGCTGCAAGGTGAAAAAGGGTGGTCTTAGTTAAAAGGATGGTGAAGATATGAGATCAAAAGCTCAACTAGGATATCAAGATTGCAAACAATCTGGTCAAGCCTCAGGCAGTTGTCAGGGTGATGGAGGGCCTCAGTAACTTGGAATGGGGTTTTTGGCAGGGTTGAAGATTGTAGTCTTCCAAATGTTTATCATTGCAGGGAACGTCTGCTGACAAAGTGACACTGGAGAGTTAAGAGAGTTGGTGAAGGGATAAGCTGAATGTGTTGAAACTGACATGTTTTCAAATGAAGTCATCAAGGGCCAGTAGTCAAATGAACAATAGGAGAGATAAGGATAGATCATTAGGGAACATGTGAATAACATTAGAGGTGGGAAGAGAAGCTATTCCAAGAACAAAACCACAGTGAAGAGGAATTAGAGATGGATGATATGCTTGACTATGCCAAAAGGCAGGTTGAGAAGGCTGAGGAGGCAAAGTTTACCTTTGCTACAGTCACAACGGACGTCATTTCTAACTGTGAAGTCACATGACAGCAGTGGGAGTGGTAAGGACGCGAGCCAGGAAGTGAACTAATATATTCGGGCATTGGCTCAACCCAAAACACTACACGTGTAGTGTCTCTAACCAAAGAAAAAAAGACTGCGTGGACGGTCGGTAAGGTAAGGCTTTTCTTTATTCTTCTGGAAATCTAGAGTAGAGGGAATGGAAGCTAGGGGAGTTGCATGCTCCTTTTGCAGGATGTGGGAGATAAGGGTCACTGCTGGTGCCCCCTCTGACTTCACCTGCGAGAAGTGCACCCAACTCCAGCTCCTCAAAAACCGCGTTAGGGAACCGGAGCTGGAGCTGGATAAACTCCGGATCATTCGGGAGGCTGAGGGGGTGATAGATAGGAGTGAGAAGGAGGTGGTCACACCCAAGGTACAGGAAAGATGTAGCTGGGTGACTGTCAGAAGGGGGAAAGGGAATAGGCAGACAGTGCAGGGATCCCCTTTGGCCGTTCCCCTCAATAATAAGTATACCGTTTTGGATACTGTTGTGGGGGGGGGGGGAAAGAGAGCTACCAGCAGAAAGCCATAGCGGACAGGTATCTGGCACTGAACCTGGCCCTGTGGCCAGAAGGGAAGGGGGGAGAATAGGAGAGCAACTGGGGGAATTCAATAGGAAGAGGCACAGACAGGCAGTTCTGTGGACACGAACGGATGGTATGCTGCCTCCCAGGTGCCAGGGTCCATGATGTCTCAGATCGTGTCTTCAAGATCCTTAAGGAGGAGGGTGAGCAACCAGCAGTCATGGTACACATCGGTACCAATGACATAGGCAGAAAAAAGACTGAGAATGTGAAAAACAAGTACAGGGAGTTAGGTTGGAAGCTGAAGTCCAGGACAAACAGGGTGATTTTCTCTGGATTACTACCAGTGCCACGTGATAACGAGGTAAGAAATAGGGAGAGAGAGTGCAGCTAAACACGTGGCTACAGGGCTGGTGTAGGAGGGAGGGCTTCTATTATGTGGATAATCGGAGCACATTCTGGGGAAGGTGGGACCTGTACAGGAAGGACGGGTTGCACCTGAACCGAAAGGGCACAAATATCCTGGGAGGGAGGTTTGCTTGAGCTATACGGGATGGTTTAACCTAGATTGGCAGGGGGTGAGGAACCAGATTTGTAATTCAGAGAATGTGGTATTCAGCCTTCCAACAGACATAACAGGGAGTGAGGTTGTTTATAAAGAAATGCGGTTGATGGAACGTAATTGTGGACACAGAGATGGTTTGAGGTGTGTATACTTCAATGCTAGAAGTGTCAGAAATAAGGCAGATGAACTTAGAGCATGGGTCAGTACTTGGAACTACGATGTTGTGGCCGTTACAGAAACTTGGGTAACTCAGGGACAGAAATGGTTGTTGGAAGTTCCGGGATTTAGATGCTTTAAAAGAAATAGAGAGGGTGGAAAAAGAGGCGGCGGAGCGGCATTGCTAGTCAGAGCTAGTATAGCAGCTACCGAAAGGCAGTTCGAGAATGATATATCTACAGAGTCAGTTTGGGTTGAGGTCAGGAACAAGAAAGGAGCAGTCACTTTGTTGGGGTTTTTTTTACAGACCCCGTTATAGTTGTAGAGAAGTGGAGGAACGGATTGGGAGGCAGATACTGGAAAGGTGCAGAAGTCACAGTGTTGCAGTCATGGGTGACTTCAACTTTCCAAATATTGATTGGAAACTTTTCAGTTGTAATAGTTTAGATGGAGCGGATTTTGTCCAGTGTGTTCAGGAAGGATTCCTGACACAGTACGTAAATAGACCAACACGAGGAGAGGCCACTTTGGATTTGGTGCTTGGCAATGAACCAGGCCAAGTGTTAGACCTGTTGGTAGGAGAGCATTTTGGCGGTAGCGATCATAATTCTGTTACTTTTACAATAGTCATGGAAAAGGATAGGTACATACAGCAGGGTAAGGTTTATAATTGGGGGAAGGGTAATTACAATTCTGTTAGGCAAGAAATGGGTAACAAAATGGGAACAGATGCTGTCAGGGAAGAGCACTACAGAAATGTGGAGATTGTTTAAGGAATGCATACTGCGTGTGCTCGATATGTTTGTCCCTAGCAGGCAGGGAAGATGGAGTCGAGTGAGGGAGCCTTGGTTCTCGAGAGAGGTCGAACGACTAGTTAAGAGGAAAAAGGATGCTTATCTCAGGTTTAGGAAACAAGGATCGGAAAAGGCTCGAGAGGGATACAAGTTAGCCAGGAAAGAGCTGAAGAAAGGGCTGAGGAGAGCTATAAGGGGGCATGAGAAAACTTTGGCAGATAGGATCAAGGAAAACTCCAAGGGTTTTTACATGTACGTGAAAAATAAGAGAATGACCAGAGTAAGGGTAGGGCTGATCAAGGATTGTAAAGGGAATTTGTGCACGGAGCCTAAAGAGATAGGACAGGTCCTTAATGAATACTTTTCTTCAGTATGCACAACTCAGAGGGACCTAGTTGCAGAGGAGGACAGTGTGAAACAGGCTGGTAGGCTAGAGGAGGTGGATGTTAGTAAAGAAGATGTACTAGGAATTTTGAGGAACTTGAAGATAGATAAATCCCCTGGGCCTGATGGGATTTATCCAAGGATTCTATGGGAAGCAGGGCCTTTGGCGATGATCTTTTCGTCCCCACTGTCCACGGTTATAGTGCCGGAAGATTGGAGAGTGGAAAACATCATTCCCTTGTTCAGAAAAGGGAATAGGGATAACCCCAGAAATTACAGGCCAGTTCGTCTTACTTCAGTGGTGGGCAAATTATTGGAAAGGGCTCTGAGAGGTAGGATTTATGATCACTTGGATAGGCACAGTTTGATTTGTGATAGTCAGCATGGATTTGTGAGGGGTAGATCATGCCTCACAAACCTTATTGA